CAAACACATAGAGATCTGCCTGCCTGTCTCCCAGTCTCTGGGATTAAATGTGTGTACCAACAGACCTGGCTTATTTTTTGCTCTTCTTGAAGTCCAAAAGGTACTAATTAGACACTCTCTTTCTCTCTATGATGTGTGTGTGTGTGTGTGTGTGTGTGTGTGTGTGTGTGTGTGTGTCTGTGTGTCTGTGTGTCTGTGTGTCTGTGTGTGTGGTGTGTGTGTTCACAATCACCCCTGGGATAGCAGAATCTTAAAAATATTCCCTGGAATGTAGGTCTGTTGTAGAGTGCTTACCTAGCATGCATGAAGTCTTGGATTTATTTCCAGCTTAATATAAACTGGGCGTGCTACCTCACACCTGTAGTCCCAGCATTTGGGAGGTGGAGGCAGAAGGGTCCGAAGTTCAAAGTCATCTCTGACGACATAGAAAGTTCAAGGCCCGCCGGGCAGTGGTGACACAGGCCTTAAATCCCAGCATTCAGGAGGCAGAGGCAGTCAGATCTCTGTGAGTTTGAGGCCACCCTATCTAAAACAAACAATCAAAATCCATGTGGACCATGATGGAAGCCAACATATTCACACCTATGTTTCCCATCAAAGTCTGACTAACAGCAGACTCTCAGTTAAAACCAAAAAGTTTTTCCCAGTGAACCCAGGAGTCTTTATTCTCTGTTTCTAGAGCCAACAATCAAAATTCACCCCACCACGTGCACATGGCATGCTGTCTCCAAGTTCTTTGCCAAAGTCCAGCACGCAGTTCTCATGTGCAGCCTTGGGCCAGCGCTCCAGAACTGGATCGTTGTTCCTGGTCAGACGAGTCCACGGCAGGCAGAAGTCTGCGAGTTTTAGCTGGAATATAAGAATGCTTTTGGAAGAGAGGCTTTGAGGACACGACCTCACCTCTTTGTAGAGTCTAAAATGCAAGCGAACAGCCTGATGGTTTGATGTGGGAGACTGTCATCTCAGGATACAGATGCAACTCAGTTCTTTTTTTTTTTTTTTTTGGTTTTTTTTTTTTTGGTTTTTTGAGACAGGGTTTCTCTGTGTAGCTTTGTGCCTGTCCTGGAACTCACTTGGTAGCCCAGGCTGGCCTCGAACTCACAGAGATCCGCCTGGCTCTGCCTCCCGAGTGCTGGGATTAAAGGCGTGCGCCACCACCGCCCGGCGCAACTCAGTTCTGACCTGACTTAGTTTCTTTTCTTTTTTTGGGAAGGGGTGGGTGACATTGAAACAAGGTCTTACCATGTAGTCTTGGATGGCCTGAAACTCACTCTGTAGACCAAGTTGGCCTTGAACTCACAGAGATTCACTTGCCTCTGCCTCCTGAGTGTTGGGATTAGAGGCATTCGCCAGCCACCACACTAGGCTTCTTTGTTTTCTTGTTTGGAAGCAGAGTCTCATGTATCCCACCCAGGCTAGCCTCAAAAGTTCTATAAGTAACTGTGAACTTCTGGCCCTCCTGCCTGCTCCTCCAGAATGCTAGGGTTACAGGTCTGCGCCACCATGCCCAACTCGATGTAACGCTGAGAATGGAACCCAGAACCTCTCGCATGCTAGGCAAGCAAGCACTCCACCAACTGAACTACAGTCCCCAGCTCCTAAGTTAGTTTCTAATTTTTCAAACCGAAGTGAACTGTAGGGAATATGAATTTCATCTTGGTGCCAAAAGACCAGAAAAAAAAAAAAAAGTTGGATCCACTGGAGCTGGCAGAAGACAGAGGTCTATGTTCATTTTCCTATCTTCTTTTGTGCAAAGGCCTGTGGATAATGGACAAAGGAGGACAGGCCAGGAAGATTCCAGGCCTGGGGTTGTGAGTCTGGCTGGAAGAGGAAAATTGACTGTTATGATCCAATTGAATAGCATCTGTAGGGAAAAGGTGATGTGCGTGTATTCAGGAGGAATGTCACCACCCAGCAGGCCTTCTCTGGAACAGTGGGTCTGAAAGGAAGAGCTGTTTACACTCCAGGGCCGCCAACCTTCCCCAACCCTCACTCAGGTCTTGGCTGCTGGGAAGCTCCATTCTCCCTCTACTCCTTTCTTATGGCCAAAGCCCTGTCTTTGGCTAACTTTAGTGAATTGAGTGTGTAATTCAAAAGCAAAGACACGGCTGAGTGGGTAAAGTGCTCGCCATGCAAGCCTGGGCATCCAAGTTTGATCCCCAGCATCCACATATAAAACTTGATGTGGTGGTTCACACTGGTAATCCCAGCAGTGGAGGGCCCGGGGTCAGCAGATTCCTGGGGTTTGCTAGACAACCACCCTGGCCTAATCACTGAGCCCCAGGACTCAGAGAGAGAGACCTTGTCTCAGAAAATAGGTAGATGACTCCTGAGGAACCACCTCCAAGATTGACCTCTGACCTCCACATGTACACACACACCCAAATACAATTAAAAATACATAATAATTTTATAAAGAGCAGAGCTGGGTGTGGTGGCACACACCTTTGATCCCAGCACGAGAATGGCTCAACAATTAATAGCACTGGCTGCTTCTCCAGAGGATCTGGGTTCAATTCCAATTCCAGCACCCATGTGATGACTCACAACCATCTGTAACTCCAGTTCCAGGGGAACTGATGCTTTTTTCTGGCCTCTGTGGGAACCATGGCATACATATGGCATAGACATGTGTGCAGGCAAAACACCTACACACACAAAATAAAATTTAAAAAAATCTTAAATGTGGTCCCAGCCAGGTATACTGGCTCACACCTTTTTTTTTTTTTTTTTTTTTTTGGTTTTTCGAGACAGGGTTTCTCTGTGTAGCTTTGCGCCTTTCCTGGAATTCGCTTTGGAGACCAGGCTGGCCTCGAACTCACAGAGATCCGCCTAGCTCTGCCTCCCGAGTGCTGGGATTAAAGGCGTGCGCCGCCGCCGCCGCCACCACCGCCCGGCCTGGCTCACACCTTTAATCCCAGTACATGGGAGGCAGAGGAGGCCAACCTGGTCTACATAGTGAGTTCCAGGCCAGCCAGAGCTACACAGAGAAACCTCATCTTGGAAAAACAAACAACAAACACGTGTATGTGTGTGTGTGTGTGTGTGTGTGTGTGTGTGTGTGTGTGTGTGCGCAAAACAGCCGGGTGTGGTGACTCAGCACTTGGAAGCCTGTCTGGAGGTTCTAGCAGGCGACTGTAGCTGTTCACATCCTTGATCAAAGATTGGCCCCCATCTGTGTGAGGAAGGGACATACATGCAGGATGGGAACACCTGCCTAGCCAGCGAGATCGGAGTCAACTCAGGCAATCAATGAGGGGACAGATGTCACAGCCAGTTGCCCTCACATCTGTGGCTTAGCTCTAGGGAAGCTTGAGGCATGAAAATTGTGAAATCGAGTCCAACCAGGTCCGGAGACTTTCTCAGAGGAAACAAAAAGTGAAGGAGTATTGACAGTTTAAGTAGACATTTGGATGTAAATAATGATTCATGTTTTCTTGGTATTTCAAAAATAGACATTTGGCTGGACAGATGGTTCAGAAGTCAGGATTGTGTACTGCTGTTCCGGAGGACCCAGGTTCCGTTCTCAGTACTCATGTCAATCATTTTACAGCTGATGGTCACTCCAGCTCCAGGGGATTTGATGCTGCCTTTTGGCCTCTGTGGGCATTTGCACTCAAGTGTATAAACTCATCCCATTCACATGAATATTCACATAATAACAAAATAAAAAATACAGACACCATGATTTTTGTTGAACTACTTCTGGATTGCTTATTTTGTTGTTTGTTTTTTGAGGTAGGGTTTCATGCAGCCCGGGCTGGCCTCAAATTAACTATGTAGCTGAGACTGGCCTTGAACTCCTCATCTACTGGCTCCACCTCCTGGGAGCTGGAATCAGGGATGCGCACCACCATACCTGTTGTAAAGGTCTTTCTTTTTCAGCTCAGATGACAAGTGTCCAGTCCACAGGCTCACTTTCTGTCTGTGTGGGGTGTGTGTATGTGTGTGTGTGTGTGTGTGTGTGTGTGTGTGTGTGTGTGTGTGTTTGCGCATGCACACACGCGCATATGAAAGCCAGAGATCAACTCTGAGCATTTTCTTCTATCACTTCCCCACACCTTACTTTTTGAGACAAGGTCTCTCAGTGAATCTGGAGCTTATCAGTTTGGCTAGACCAGCTGCCAACTCCAGGAATCCATCTATACACACACACACCACCACCACCACCACCATGTCCCTTGCACAGTGTAACAAGTGTGAGCTGGGGCACCTGGCTTTTTACCTAGGTGCTGCAGACCCAAACTCAGATTCTCATGCTGAGTGGCCAGCACTTTACCTTTTGAGCACTGCCCCATCCCCCACCCATCAGCTTCTTGGTCAGCAAGCGCTGTCATCTAATCCTGGCTAAGTCTGTCCATATAAGGCACTCAGGAGAAGAACTCTCCCAAGCCTCAGAAAGCACGGAGCCACAGAAGGGTAGAGACAACTAAACTTTCATTTTTGAGACAGGGTCTCCTTACATAGCCCAGGCTGGCCTGGGACTAGAGTTACAGAGAGTAGTGAGCTGTCATGTGGAAGCTGGGGGCCAGACCTAGCACCTCTGTTAGGGCAGCAAGCGTTCCTAACATCAGCCATCTCTCCAGCCCACAATATACAAATGAGAGGGGGGGAATTGGTTTTCAGGAGTTAGGCTCTCTAGAAGACCCAGGAAACAGAAACTTCAGACTCTAGACCCAGGACTGGCAGCCCTGACTCATGGACAGAGTTCTGGCTTCCAGTTATTATACAAACAAGCTTTTTTTTTTTGCTAAGATGCCAGGTTGGGGGGACACAGCCTTGTCCCCAGACATGCTCAGACCAAGTCAGAACAAGGTTGGAGATGGAGGGGCTCAACAAAGGGCCCCAACCCCTCCCAGGAATAGAGCATAAACTTTGGAAAGTTGGGCAAGAGAGAGCACAGTGGCAGATGAAGACAGAACATTCTGTTTTGTTTTGTTTTTAATTTTATGTGCATGGTGCATGAACGTTTTACCTGCATGTATGTGCACCATGTGCATGCCTAGTGCCCTCAGAGGTCAGGAGAGGGTGTTGGGTTCCCGAGAACTAGAGTTACAAATGATCGTGAGCCACTTCTGTGGTGCTGGGAGTCGAACTTAAGTCCTCAGCAAAAGCAACAAGTGATCCAAACCACTGGGCCATCTCTCAGGGCCCAGCAGAGCATTCTTTGAGGCTGAGATGGTCCCAGAAGGTGAAGGCGCATTCCCAGTCGCAGATGTGAGCCCATATGTCCAGGGCTCTGTCTGGTTTGGGTCTGGTAGGGGGAGAAACGGGAAGCAGGGAGACAAAGGAGAGCGCGTGGGAAGGGTCAGGTAGGCGGCAGGGTTTGGGAAATGTCTGCATAGAGCGTTGACCAAGTAGCCATGGTCATCTAAAGCACACTCAGAGGGAGAGCATGAGGCAGGAGCCCGGGGCACGTCTCTTTCCTCTACGGAACTTAGGAGAACAGGCCAGGAGAGATGGTCCAGTGGATAAAGGTTTATGTCATCAAGCCAGATCATCACCTGAGTTGGATCCCAGGACTCCACAGGGTGGAAGGAAAGAACGGAAGTTGTTCTCTGACCTCCATATGGGAGCCTGCACACACATACACAAAGACGCACGCACGCACACGCACTCACGCACGCACACGCACACCTATAAGTAAATAAATAAGTGAATGTCATTTTTTAAAAGGAAAACAAAAAAGCGAGGTTTTGGTGCTCCCGAGAGAGTTTGACCTCCGCACCTAGGAGACTGTGGTTGCTGAAGTCTTGCCTGCAGATCCAGCAGTGCTAGGAGCGAGTGCGATCGAGCGCCTTCCCGATCGGGTTCTCTGCCTTGGTAAGAGGTCCGGGGCCCGGGGACAGGGGCCACGCGCAGAATCACACCGGGAAGGGGCGCGGCTCCCGGGGCCCCGCCGCCACTCGAGGCTCCCGCCCCTCTTGGTAGGAGGTGGCGCCTCCCTTGTGGCGGCCGGAGCCTGGAGGTGGCGTCGGGAGCTGGAGCCTGGGGCTCGGATGTCACCGCGCAGCCGGACGCGGACGCCCTGGAGAGCGTCTCCGGCCGGAGCCACAGGTACGCTGCGGGGGGCCGGGTGAGGGGACGCGCAGCCTGTAGTCCGCAGGAGGAGGACCAGGACGGGAGGGTCGGGGCGGCGACAGTGGTGGCCGCGAAGCAGCCAGACCCGTCGTTCCTTCTGGACCTTCTGACCTGGAGTCCAGTCCGGATGCGTCAGCCGAGTAGAACCCTGCGCACCTTTACTCTTGTCCAGGCCTGGCAGGGGACAGAGCCGTCCAGCTGTCCTAGCTGTTGCGGGGACTCGGTACACAGTGGCAGCCGCCCGGCGACCCTCTGTTCTGTTGCTGGAGAATCTCAGTCCCTCTTAGTCCCCGATCTTCTCGGACCAAGAGCCGCACAGGAAAGGCCTAGAAATATGCTGGTCAGAGGCCACTGGCTCTCCTAGTGTCTCAAGCGCCCGCTCTCTCGCCTCTCCATGTGACTCTGCTGCCACAATGTGGTCCCCAGAGCTTGGATCCAACCCCCTTTGGGGCCCCTGTTTGCCTGGAATTTGAACCTGTGTATGTGCTCTGTCCATGGCAGTGACTGTCTGTACCTAGGTGTCACAGGCATCCTGTGTTTTTTGTACACCTCCTGGAAGTAGGGTCTCAGCAGGGGCCGCCCCAGGGCTTCAGGGACCAGCTGCTATGTCTCAGAACAGTTATTATGCGGGGGTGCAATGTCACCTATGGCCATGGAAAATAGGAGGACAGAGAGAACCAAGGAGCTGGACAGAGAGCTCACCCATCAGACCTAGCCTGGGGTGCTAGGACTTAGGATCTAGTCCTGAACCCTGGGGGGTCTGACTCCCGGAGATTCAGCCCAGTGCAGTTACAGCTGTCCACAGTGCTACGGGAAGGCCAGAGGCAAGGAGTGGCCTGCACAGGTCCACACAGGAAGTCAGATGGGAGATGGCGCTGGAAGGACAGTTTCATTCCAGATGAACTTTGAGGCTGTCTTTTCTCCTGTACCTCTTCTGTTACCTGCCCTGGGCTCGCATGCATGGCCTTGACAGGGTTTTTGTCCACTGAAAACTGTCTTCATTGAACTTCCCCACAAGCCTTGACTGAAGTCCTGGGTCTGGTTGCTTGCCTGGGTCCACCTTCACTCTCGAGTACCAGACCCATATCCCAACCACCGCGAAATTTGCCGTGGCCACAGCAAAGCCCAGGTCCCCCAGAATGAATGAGTGCTCTATGGCTTATCTGCTCTCCAATGCCAGTCTTGTCCAGTCTCTGGAGTTTCATCCTCCAGGGCTGGTGCTTCCACCCTCAAGAGCCTGAGCTCTGAACCCTGAGCACAGCTCACTTATTCTTCATTAGGTGACAAGTACCTTCCTCCATCCCCAAGACCCTAGTCTACTTTTCTAGCAGACTACGCCGCAACCTCTGCTCTGGGGACAAGCATGAACATTCCTTGTTGTTTGTGTGGAGGCTCCAGGCCTTGGTGGTACAGCAGAGTCTACAAAGAGTACGGTATGGGAGTCCTGCGTGGACAGAAACCTGCTGGGGCCACCAATGCGATAGCATCCTTGAGACAAGTTAGGGGCAATAAGAAAACCTACATATGTACACATTTAATGGTTCATTATACATTGATGTTTTCATTAATTACATTAGTGTGCGTGTTAGTATGGGCATAAGTGTCGGAGTGTGGCTATAGACATCAGAGGGGGACTTTCAAGAGTCCATTGTCACTTTCCACCTTGGTGAGGCAAGCTTGTTTCTGCTGCTGTGTAGTGTATTTGAGGGTAGCTGGCCCACAAGCTTCCAGATGGTTGTTTTGTTTCTACTTCCCACCTCACTGCTGGTATGCCGAAATTACTGGCTGATATGCATTACAGCATCTGACTTTTCAAAAGCATTTTATGTGCCCACGCGCATGCAATAGCCTTTGCAGGGTGCTGGATCATCTGGAACTGGAGTTATAGTTCGTTGTGAGCCACCATGTGGGTGCTGGGAACCAAACCTCAGGCCTTTGTAAGAGCAGTCCGTGCTCTTAACTGCTGAGCCAGCACTCCAGCCCCTGAATCCGACTTTTCCTATGGGCCCTGGCAATCAAACTCAGGTTGTCAGACCTGCACAGTGAACAGTTTTTCCCAGTGAGTCTCCTTTCTGTACCTTAAGCTGTTTTTGTTTGTTTTGTTTTTTAAATTTATTTTTATGTTTTTATTTATATGAGTGTTTTTCCTACATGTATGTATGTATGTGTACCACATGCATATCTGGTGCCCATGGAGAACAGAAGAGGGCATGGGATCCCCTGGAACTCTAGTTACAGATGGTTGTGAGCTGCCATGTGGGTGCTGGGGAACCAAATCTGGGTCCTCTGCAAAAGCAGCAAGTTCTCTTTTTGTTTGTTTGCTTGTTTGTCTGACTTTTGAGGCAGGCCTTGGCTGGCCTGGAACTTGCTATATGGGCCAGGCTGGCCTCGGACTCATAGAGATCCACTTGCTTCTGCTTTACAAATGCAGGGATTAAAAGCATGCCACGGCCGCCAGGTGGTGGTGGCGGTGGAAGCGGCGCACGCCTGTAATCCCAGCACTCGGGAGGCAGAGGCAGGCAGATACCTGTGAGTTCCAGGCCAGTCTGGGCTACAGAGTGAGTTCCAGGAAAGGCGCAAAGCTACACAGAGAAACTCTGTTTTGAAAAACAAAACAAAACAAACAAACAAACAAAAGCATGCCACCACCACGGCCAGTGTAGCCAGTGCTTTTAACACCTCTCTCCAGCTGTGTTAGCCATTTTTATCTGGTGCTTAGAGAATCCTTCGTTGTGTCAGACACTCACTAATATAAATTTTCATGGTTTCTTCTCCTCCTCCTCCTCTTCCTTCTCCTCCTCCTCCTCCTCCTTCCCCTTCCCTTTCCCCTTCTCCTTCTTCTATTTGTGGTGTTTTGAGACAGGGTTTCTCTGTGGAGCCCTGGAATTCACTCTGTAGACCAGGCTGGCCTCAAACTCACAGAGATCTGCCTGCTTCTGCCTCCCAAATGCTAGGATCAAAGGTGTGCACCACTACCACCCTACTTAAATGGTTTCTTTAAAAAAATTTTTTTTTATTTATTTATGTTTGCGTGTAGGAGAGAGAGGGAGAGAGAGGGAGGGAGTGGGGAGAGAGAGAGAGAGATCATGCATGCCACAATGACAATGAGCATGTGGATCCCCAAGGATCAAACTCAAGTTGTCAGTCTGGGAGTCACCTCTCCAGCCTCAACGCCTCCTTTGAGGGAATATCTTAATATTTCATCACTCTTTCTTTCGGCATGCCGACATGGATAGGCATGAGTTGGGTTTAGGAAGATGAGGAAGAGAGAAGTTGGGGGATGGCATGGTTAGTAAGTGCGTGCTATACAAGCATGTGGACCTGAGTTTGAATCCCCAACACCTGAGAAAGAGCAGGGCACTGCTGCTGGGTGTGGAGGGTGGAGAAGAGATGGGAGGATCCCGGGAACTCATTGGCCAGTCAGCCTAGCCACATGAGGTTCAGTAAAAGAGCCTGTCTCAAAAAAGTGGGGTGGACCAGGCTTGGTGGCACACATCTTTAATCCTGACACTTGGAAGGCAGAGGCAGGTGGATCTCCATGAGTTCAAGGGCATCCTGGTTTACTTAGTGAGTTCTGGGACAGCCAGGGCTGTCTCAAAAAAAAAAAAAAAAAAAAAAAAAGAGGCGAAAAGAGATTGAGGAAGACATCAGACATCAACCTCTGGCTTCCACATGCATATACATGTGCATACACCACACCCATGTGCAGACACCACATACACATACAAACTTTTTTGTTTGTTGTTGTTGTTTGGTTTTTTTGAGACAAAGTTTCTTTGTGTAGCCTTGGCTGTCCTGGAACTAGCTCTGTAGACCAGGCTGGTCTCAAACTCAACTCACAGACATCCTCCTGCCTCTGCCTCCCAAGTGCTGGGATTAAAGGAGTGTGCCACTACTGCCCACCTCCAAAAAAAAAAAAGTCTTTTTTAACTTTATTTTATGTGCATTGGTATGAGGGTGTCAGATTCCCTGGAACTGGAGTTACAGACAGTTGTGAGCTGCCATGTGGGCGCTGGGAATTGAACCTGGGTCCTCTGGAAGAACAGCCAGTGCTCTTAACCGCTGAACCATCTCTCCAGCCCCCCCCAAAAAACTTTTTAAAGAGAAGAAAACTTAGGAAGAGAGAGAGCTGGTATCTGAGCAGCCAGGGTAGACCTTTTAGAAGAGCTGACTATCCTTTTAGGCAGTAGTTCTCAACCTGTGGGCTGGTCTTGCTGGGCATGAATAGGCCCAGCACAGCCACATCAAGATGTCTGGCCCTGGGTGGAGTGAAGGCTCACTTGCCTCTCCATTATAGGAAGGTTTTATGCTCCTGGACTCACTCCCAACAATGTATGGTATCCTGCACCTCAGAGAGGTGGGTGTAGGGTGACCCTGAATTCCAGTATCTGGGAAGCTCAAATGAGCCTGCCTTTGGAGCACATGCCAGGGTGTATCTCCCTAATCTATGCACCCCACCCACCCCCCAAGTATGTCAAGGGAGACAAACTTCCCCATAGATCCCCCAAGCCTCAAAGCTGCTCTCGGCCAGACCCAGCACAACCGCCCAGGCCTTCCCCTGGCTCTGCCTCCCGGCACTGGGGAGGGATCAGTTTCCAGGCAGTCCTGCTTGCCTGCAGGCTCTGTTTCTTCCTGATAATGCATGAGTAACCTGGTTATGTCCGTGGTGGCCAGGGCCTCCTCACACATTCTGTCGCGTTCCCCAGAAAAGACTAATAGGGAGGGGGAAGAGGGACATAAAACATGGAGCCTCTTCCTTCCCTGCCAAGGCCACCCCTCCATCAACTCCCCACACCTCCGTCCCTTCCCTTGCCATTCAGCAACTATTTATTTAACATTGACTACATGCCAGGGCTGGTGCCAGGCACTGGGTGACAAATCAGGGCAGGACCTGTCCTCAGGAAGCTCAGGGGGTGGGAACGAAAGGAGGAAACAGCAAACAGTCACAGAGTCGGGGGTGAGTGACGCTGTGGAGGTCCCCAGGAACCCAGAGACCTCCAAATTGAGTCCTATTGGCAAGGCATAAAGGAGGTGGGTGTCTGCTCATGGTTCCTAGGCAGAAGACAGAATTGCAGACCCACCCAGCCGTTATTCTGGAATTTATGGTACTTGGAGTTTGGGCTTTGTTGGGGGAAGGGGGCCATGACAAGGGCTTTGGGCAGGGTTTGCCTCTAGGAAATTGATTTTGGCTGCAGTGAGCTTGGAGGCATGCCTAGATTCCAGCCAGGGTTATGCCACTTAGGACCTGTGTGTGCCTCTGGGCCAATCGCTTCCTCCTCAGAACCTCAGGGTTCTCATTTGTAAAAAGCACATAGGGAGATGAGGATTAAGGTGGGTATTTCTATGACTCACCTGGACCGTAAAGAACACAGAGTGGGGTGAACGGAGACGGTGAAGATATCTCTGCGCCTGCCTTGCCTCTTTGCCCCCCTTCTCTGGGCTCCTCTGTGATCTCAGAACATTCTTGATCGTTGTTTATCAGGGAAAGATCACACAGAGAAGCCAACAGAATGGCCAGGAAGCAGCCTGGGTGGGACTGAGGTTTGAGCATGCGCCTGTTCTCAACAGGGGTAGAGGTGCCAGGGCAGAGGTGCAGCTCGGGAAGGCCCAGTCCCCAAGGCAAGCGAATGGGCCATTTGCGTCAGAACTGAGGATCCCAACCCCCAGACCTGCGCTCTACAATGAGTCCAATTGCCCACGCCATCTCAACCTCCAGTTTCTCTACCACACTGAGGGGTAGGAGGAAGATGCCAGAGCTAGGGACCATCCGACCCGAGAGTGGATATATAAGCCCCGGGTTCTCTATGGTTTAGGAGCCAGCAGGCTGTCCTAACCCTTACCTGAACTATTCATCCAACAGCCCATCTATGTTTTGTTTGGTTTTAGCTTTCCACCCCGCCTGCCGGCCCTAGTCTCCAACTGCACAGCCATGGAGGCCCTGGGTACTGGGAGCGACTGCACCTCCCCGGCCTCAGCCTCTGGAAATCTGGACTTGCGACGGCTGTCCACGCGCGCCGACTCAGCCTACAGCTCTTTCTCCGCGGCGTCTGGTGGTCCGGAGATGCGCACACCGTCTCCTAGCACCGAGCTCCTCCCTTACCTAGACTGGGACTACGTGCGCGTGGTTTGGGGCGGCCGATCCCCTACCCGGCAGGATGCTGTCCTTCCAACTACCCAGCGGCCCGAACCGGTAGTCGCTGGGCACAGTGGCCCGCGGCCCCCAGAGGTCCAAGGAAGCCAGGGGTCCCTGAGCAGACAGGACACCCCGCTGCTGTACGCGCTGGCCGCCGAGGCTGAGGCTGCGGCACGCCCCGCTGAGCCGCCCAGCCCCCCAGCCTCAAGGGCCGCCTACCGCCAGCGGCTGCAGGGTGCGCAGCGTCGAGTGCTGCGGGAGACATCGTTCCAGAGAAAGGAGCTCCGCATGAGCCTGCCCGGCCGCCTGCGGCCCGCGCTCCCCCCGCGGCCTCCCACGGTGCACGCGCGCTCCGCCTCCAGCTGCCACGAGGGAGGAGGAGAAGCGGAGCCCGCACGCACCCCGGTCCGAGCGCTGGGTGCTGCTGACCGGGGCCGTCTGGCCAGCCAGCAGCGGATGTGCTGTTTCTCCGAGCCAGGCAAACTGCATCGCGTGGGTTGGAGCGGTGGACCCACGGGCGAGGGCTTGAGAGAGGCTTGCTCCACCCAGGAGTTGCCGCGTGGGGCGCACGCTAAGTCCAGAGGGCTGCAGGAGACTCAGTCTCTAAGCTCAGTGGAGCTGGACTCCCCGTGCGTGAATCGTGGCCTTGCCTGTAGGCCTGCGGGTCGGAGTATGAGCGTTTCAGGCGAGGTCATGAGTCCCCGCACGGGTTCAGAAAGGACTGTGGCCGCCACTGGCCAGGTATGGAAGGGAAAGGCTGGTGGGGGAGGGAGGCATCTGGGAGACTGCTATATTTCAGGCCACTGTTCCCCTTTCTAGGCTGTTCCCCAAAGGACAGAAACCCCGAGACCATTACTTCAGATCAAGCTTTCCAGGTGAGAGACATGGGACTCTCTGGGGACAGAGATGTCTGGAGTCCACTTTCACAGCTCTTGCTTAAAAAGGAATCACGGGTCATGTATTCATTACTTTTCCTATTGTCGTGACCAAATTCCTAACAAAGGGGACTTAGAGAAGAAATACTTATTTTGGCTCAGGGTTGAAGAGAGTAGAGTCCATCACGGCAGGGAAGGCATGGATCCAGGGAGCGTGAGGCTTCTGGTCACACTGCATCCGCAGTCAGGAAACAGATTCCTGCTAGTGCTCAGCTCTCTTTCTCCTTTTCCACTTTTTGTTCAGTCCAGAACCCGGGTCCACGGGATGGCACTGACCACATCCAGGGTGGGTCTTTCCTCTCCAGTGACACCTCTCTGCAAACTCCCTCACAGTTAGCCAAAGGTGTGTCTCCTAGGTGATTCAAAATCCAGTCACGCTGACAACGGATTCATTGTTAGGAGACCGTCCACCTACCTCAGTTGGAGACTTCCGTCTTTTGCAAACTACTATTTCTGTGGTGCAGTGGGGAGGTGACCTCTTTCCTGGTCACTGTAGGGTCCCTGCCTCTAGGTTCTTGACTCAGAAAGAGGCTGCAGTGGTGTGTCCTACAGAGGCCTTCCAAAGCAGCCCAGCCGGCTGTGGTCAGAGGGTCCCCGAGACCTTCATGGTGTCTACTCCGAACCCCTCTCTCCCTGATGATGATGTGTTCCTGGAAGAAGCCGAGACACCACCATCTCATGATTCCCATGCCCCCCAGGGGCTCCCAACCAGGTGAATCCCCACTGTGTCTAAGCACAGAGAGACACTTTCCTCACACACAATCATCTAGAAAATGCCAGAAGGTGGGGAACTCTCTCTTATAGTGCCCAGGTGGTGGGAATTGGGGGCTGGCAGCCCTTGAAAAGACAGCTGCTGTCTTCGCGGGGGCCTTTTCTGATTCAGCAACTCTTCCATCTCTAGGGATCTCCACACCTCTGACCAGCAGGATGAAAACGACTTGAGCAAAAAAACTGTCCAGATTACAGCCTCAGCAGAGAGTCCCCTCCAGGAGGGCCCAGGGATCACAAGAGCAGATGACAATTGGCAGGGGGTAAACGGTTCTGTGGGCTTCTCCAGACCCACAAACCACAGCCCTCCTGGGACTACAAATGATGACAACCTAACCTTTGACACTACGGGACTGCTGACCACTGGTCCCTCTACAGCTACAGAAAATAATCCCCTCAAGCCTCCTTCGGTCGATGTCCTATGCCCTTCAGGCTCTGAGACTTCAGGAACCCCTCACCACACTTCTCTGACCTGGGGCCAGTCTGGACCTAAGCCAACCTGGCCTAGTCGGCATTTTGAGGAGCTGGTTCAGCAGCTGGCCAGACTGGATGCTTCTTTGAGTGACGCTTTTGCTGCCCAGCCCGGTCCAGAGCCACCTCTGGGTCTGCTGGATGGGCTCTTTCCTGCCACAGAGGTCTTGGCTGCCATGAGGCCAGCCTGTGAGGAGGCTGGAGAAGAGGCCGCCGGGGCTTCGGAGGCAGGGTGAGCGCCAGCCAGGCACTAGGGACTCCTGATTCTGAGTCTGCAGTCTAGGGCAGAAAAACTCAGAGAACTCTGCCTTTGTCCTCAGGTCCTGCAGAAGCCAGGAACTGCCGACTACCCAGGAGGCATCAAGGTCGGAAAACTCTACCCCTCACCCTGTGCCTGACCAGTCAAGTGGCCAAGGACTCCCAAAATCAAACAGCATTCAGGCAGAGAAAGTGAGTCGGGGCGCGAGGGGGTGGGGTAGGGCGGTGGGCGTTGAAAAATGAGTGGGGGCCGAGCTTAGTGTCTGGGAGGAGAACTCCCAGGCTTGGCCCAGTTCTTGAATAAATACCTAGGCCCTCCCTGCAGGTGGAGCTAGCCCGCCTCCTCCAAAAGATGCTCCAAGAGCTTCACGCGGAGCAGGAGCGCCTGCGGGGGAAGGCTGCAGACTGGACCCGATGTCATGGAGATCTGGAGGCTGCAGTGAGCCAAGCCTGTACGCCCCGGGAGCTGGAGCGGTTCCGTCGGTTCATGACTGATCTAGAGCGCGTGCTTGGTCTGCTGCTGCTGCTGGGCAGCCGCCTGGCCCGTGTGAACCTCGCCTTGGCCAGGGCGAGCTCAGACAGCGACTCTGATGAGAAGGTAAAAGAGGTTGAGGTTGGGGGAAGAGCTGGGCTTGCAGGGGCCTGCGGTCTACAGCCAGGACCTTCCCGGGAGCAGCGGTGCTCACGGCGCCCTCTCCCGGTGGTTCCAGGCTTCGCTGCTGCAGCGCCTCCGGCTTCTGCTGCGGCAGCAGGAAGACGCCAAGGAGCTGAAGGAGCACGTGGCTCGGCGGGAGCAAGCCCTGCGTCAGGTGTTGGAGCGGGAGCTGCCCGAAGTTCATCTGCGCTCCTATTGTGTGCTGCTGGCCGCCAAGGCCAGGATCCTGTCCCAGCAGCGCAGCCTGGACGACCGAATCCGGTTCCTTAAGGAACAGCTGGACACCATCTGGAACGACCTCAGTCATCATCCCCTTTCTCCTGGACTGTCCTGGGCCCCAGGAATCCGTCCTCTGGACAAACCACTTTTTGCTACCCCTATCTAGTTACAGGTGGTTGAGGTGAGGAGTATTGTCCCAGCCTCACCCCCAACTGAGGCCATGCTATAGAGAGAGCTTTCCCTTGAGGGAATAGGGAGGTGTCAGAATAGGCATTCCCAGGACACATCTTCCCACAGTGTTCTCCTGTGGCCTTACTCAAGCTTGTAATTATTTGGGAATTAATTTATGGGTCTTAAAAACAGCAGTATTCAGCAGGGCAGTGATGGTGCACACCTTTGATCCCAGCACTCCAGAGGCAGAGGCAGGCAGATCTCTGTGAGTTCAAGGCCAGCTTGTTCTACAAAGTGAGTTCCAGGACAGCCTGGGCTGTTACACAGAGAAATCCTGTCTCAAAAAACCAAAACAACAACAACAAAAAACAAAAACAACAACAAAACAAAAAAAACCTGCAGTATTCAAACCTGGCCTGGTGATATAGCTGTAATCCCAGGTACATGAGAGGCTGAGGCAGGAAGATTTCAAGTTCAAGGCCTACCTGGGCTAGAGATGGAGCTAAAAGCCAGTCTGGGCAACTTAGACTGTGCCTCTTAATAAAATGTAAAAAGAGGGATGTAGGGGGCTGGAGAGATGGCTCAGCAGTTAAGACCACTTGCTGTTCTTCCAGATGGGTTCGATTTCCAGCATCCATCTTGTATGGCTCACACCCACCTGTAACTCCAGTCCCAGGGGATCTGACACCCTCCGACCTGCACACAGGTGGTGCACAGACTACATGCAGGCAAAACACCCCCCAAATAAATAAAATTTTAAAATAATGTAAAGAGGAGGCTGCAGATATAGCTGAGTTGTAGAGTGCTTGCTTGACATGAGACCCTAGGTTCAATCCCTGGTACAGCATCAACAAAAATAAAGCAGGGCGAATGAGTACAAACCCTGCACACACCTCTTGTGGCGTTGAGTCCCTCTGTCAGAGCTGGTGGGAGACAGAGGAGTCGAGGTAGAACACTGCAGCTTGCGATGCAAAACAGTATTGTGTTTTATTTTCTAATAAATTTTTGGAGAGAGGCATGTGTGGAATATTCCTTTACACTGTGTGAATATGTGTCACTATGTTGGGTTAATAAAGAAGGTGACTGGCCAATAGCTGGACGGGTAGAGAGGTTAGGCAGGACTTACAGAAAAAAAAGAGCACAAAGAGGAGGAGTCTCTCAGAATCAGGAGGAGACACAGAGAGAAGGAGATAAACTTGTACTGAGAAAACATGGCAGAGTGTAGAAAATAAATATGGGTTAATTTAAAATGTAAGAGTTAGCCGGGTGGTGGCGGCGGCGGCGGCGGCGGCGGCGGCGGCGGCGGCGGCGGCGGCGGCGGCGGCGGCGGCGGCGGCGCACACCTTTAATTCCAGCACTTGGGAGGCAGGGGCAGTTCTCAGTGATTTCCAGGCCAGCCTGGTCTACATCGAGTTCCAGGACAGCCAGGATTGTTACACAGAGAAACCTTGTCTCAAAAAAACGAAAACAAACCAAACAAACAAACAAAATAATAAAATAAAATGTGAGAGCTAGCTAGTAACAAGCCTGAGCTATTGGCCAAACATTTATAATTAATATTAAGTCTCTGTGTGTTTATTTTGGAGCTGGTGGTTCTGACAAAAACTCTGCCTACAGGCCCATGTTGCCTGCATGGGTTGGGGAGGAATGGGGGGAGGGGGCGTTCATTGACAAACTACAGCAGTCCTGTCTGGCCAGAGTTGAAAAAGGACTTGGCAGAATATCAGTCTGGCCCAGCAATGTCTGGGGAGACGGAAGAATCGGGTTAGAAAACAGGAGAGGCTGAGGGTCACTCCACTAATCACCAGCAACTGCTAACTGCCCTGGTAACTGGATCACCACCACAGAAGCTAGGGTCTTGGGCCAGTGAGACGACTCAGCTGATAAAAGGCCTTGCTGTGCAAGCCTGATAACCTGAGTTCAAACTCCAGATTCCACAGGAGAGAACCAGCTCCCAGAAGCTGCCATGGCATTCATATACCCATCCTCACACTCACGGCTTTTTCCAACCATCACCAACCAACTACACCCCCCTCCAAAAAAATAAAACCCACTGGGTGTAGGGTCTCTCATCATGGCACCTGCCAGGCCGAGTTGGAAGGTTTGTTTGAGAGCCATAAGTTATAGACCAGCCTAGTAACATATTGAGAGCCCTAAACACACCTCAAAACACAAAAACACAAAAAACAAAACTGACCTGATCCAGCTGTTGGTCTGAAATGAGCTCTGGATCAGCCAGGCCAGAAGGGAGCAGAGGATGGGAGCTAAAGACGGAGAATAGGGTAGCAGGAAATAGTGGGTGTGAAGCCTGGAGGCCCAGAAAGGCAGTGAGGGCTTGTACTGTATTTGGGAAAGGCTGACCTTGGGGTGGTCTGTGATAGTCCAAAACACAGGACAAATCCCTCTCCTTTTGTGCAGGAGCCCTGAGTACACAGAACCAGTTTTGCAGATTAACGTGAGACCAGCTTCAGTAACGAAGCTACAAACACCAGGGATAAGAATATTTTCTCTCAAAAGCTCAGGGTGCTTTTGGAAATTGGACACATCAAAACGTGAGTGAGTGCATGCGTGCGTATGTACGTGCGTGCGTGCGTGCGTGCGTGCGTGCGTGCGTGCGTGCGTGCGTGCGTGCGTGCGTGCGTGCGTGCGTGTGTGTGTGTGTGTGTGTGTTTAATACCACTGACCCCAAAGTGAGAAATCTCTGCTTCTGGGCTTGTTTTCTGATGTGTATTGTCACAAATGCAACGGGTTGGGGATTTTAAATGATCGTATTCATACTAAAAGCATTAGTTGCAACAGTCGGGCTATTGAGCACAGGACAATGTTCACATTGTGTCATTTTGTTAAAAACATACAGGATCCTGCTGAGGCCATTGCGGCCTCTAACATTATGCTTTGCTTTTTGTTGCTTTGAACCCTGTGGGTGGGCCTGTGCTCCAAGGCCATGACAGAGCCAGTTCACTTGGAGGAGTTTTCTGCATGGAAGATACTAATTTCTGCCTATTGCCCTACACAATGCCCTTTGTATGCTTCCATTATGATATTATTAGAAGCACATCTAGCAATGTCCACCAAGCCAGTGGAAAGTTGTGTATTTCAAAGCACTTCCAGCTTAGGGGTGGGAGTAGGGATGACTGCCATCTTCCAGCTTAATGAACCTTGCTTGGTTCTGTGCTGGATTTTTCGAAGGGGGAATAATGAAATTTCCGGGCTCAATCCTGCCAGTTACCAAGAGCCCTCCTCCCCCCAAATAGGGCCGCGCTTCCAGCGCTTGTCTTTGTGTCTAGCCTGGTCTTGTCTCCTTCTTGCCTCAGTATTTTTCATGTCCAATCGATGATTTCTTCTGAGGGCACTCAGGAGTTCACGACAGAGGTTCTGTATGGCATCCCATACCTCAGGATTTGAGGGGCGGGTATATGAAACCCGATACATTGATCCTGCGGGGTACCGCCAGCAGGGGGCACTGTTCCCTTACCATGGAAGCTTCCACCCACACTGGCCACCCGTAGCCTGGCGAGCTCGCACATGCTCCAGGCCGGCCTTGGGGATTTGGCCTGGCTCTGATGGGCAATGCCTCTATTGGGCTTGAAAACTGGAACTGAGCCTTTTGCTTCTGTCAGAAAAAAATTCTGGCCAGCTAAGAAGGAAAAGGCTGGCTCGCTTTTCACGGCCACCAGGCCTACGTTGGAAAATTGTTGACTGAATGAGATAGGCCGCGGAGGGAAGGCGGAGATGTGGATCCAAAGCATCCATCCTGGAATCAATCTGTCCGCCGCCTCCGCAGCTTGAGTGGTGACTCGGTGTCATACGCCTTCGGCTGCTGGAGGTGCGCTTTGCTGGATGTTTGGCTTGGGCCGTTGTTGCTGGGCAACAGGCATCCCCGCGGCCTCCCGCTCATCCCGCCCCCGCCGCGCCTCCTCCTAAGAGTTTAATTGGTGTACTTTTTACTTTCATACAGTAAATTGGAAATGGAATGGGGAAGCTGTGTTCCTCGGCACCCCAAGCTGTCGAGAACATTCTGCTCGTTACAAAACGTACTTAAGCCAGGGACTAGCGGAAACTCTGGGGGTCCTCACTGAGGCTGATGGAGGCGCTGGCCATTCATTCAGATGGCAGAGGCTCCCGGGTGAAGTTTAGGGCAAATGCGCTGTGCCCAAGAGAGGTGAATGGTGGCGGTTGAGAAGGAGAGGACACGTACTGTGAAGAAATTACTGTCACCGACAGACTGTTATCTTTGGTATTTAAATCGCTCTGCGTTTACCACCGAGAGAATTTTTTTCCTCCATGGGAGAGGGATGGATTAAGACATCTTCTTTCCCCAGCCCTCACCTCTCCCTCCCTCTTGCTCTGCTATGCCCTGCCCTTTTCTTTATCCGCTCCTTTTCCTCCCTCTTCCCTTTCCACATCCTCCCCTCCCTGGCTCCCTTTCGCTTTCCCTCAGAGGTTCAAGTCCAGAGGTGTGGCAGTTCCCCACGGTGAGGCCAGTTCCTGAAGACAAAAGGCCACCTGGAGAGGAATAATGAATCTATTTATGAGACCGTTTCAAAAGATCACACAATATCTTCCAGGGGAAAAAAAAAAAGCCTTTTTTTTTTTTTTTAGATTTATTCATGTTTTATTTTGTGTGCATTTTGCCTGCATGTATGTCTATGCACTGCATGCATGCTTGGTGGTTGGTGCCTTTAGAGAAGAAAAGAGGAAATCGGATCCCCTGGATCTGAGGTTACAGATGGTTGTGAGCCACCATGTGGATGCTGGAAACAGAACCCAGGTCCTCTGCAAGAGCAACCAGTGCTCTTAACCACTGAGCCACCTCTCTAGCCCCTGGGAGCATCTTTATAAAGACTGGCAGGTGCTTTCAGCTGACTTGGTGGGAGTTTAGGTGGGTAAGGCAAGGATAGTTGAGAAATGTAAGTTAAGAAAGACAGTGTTCGCCGGGCGGTGGTGGCGCACGCCTTTAATCCCAGCACTCGGGAGGCAGAGGCAGGCGGATCTCTGTGAGTTCGAGGCCAGCCTGGTCTACGGCGCGAGATCCAGGAAAGGCACCAAAGCTACACAGAGAAACCCTGTCTCGAAAAACCAAAAAAAAAAAAACAACAACAACAAAAAAAAAAAAAAAAGAAAGGAAGGAAGGAAGACAGTGTTCACTTGGGAGGCAGAAGTAGGCAGATATTTGTGAGTTCGAGGCCAGCCTAGTCTACAAATCGAGTTCCAGGACAGCCAGGGCCACACAGAGAAACCCTGTCTCAAACCATCCACCAAAGGGAAGAAAGACAGATAGCTAAGTGGATAAAGGCACCAGATGCCAAGCCTAACAAGCTGGGTTTCCTCTCTGGAACCTGCAACAGCAGAAGGAAAGACCCGATTCCTGAAAGTCATCCTCCGGCTTCCACACATGCGCCATGTCACGTGCATGCCCACACACATAGACACAAAATAAATAAAAATGGAATAAAATACTGAAAGAATGATATTGTTGATTCTGAAGATGATAGTTATTATTTTGAGACAGGACCTCAAGTAGCCCAGGCTGGCCTTGAACTCCATATGTAGCGACACTCAGGATGACATTGAATCCCTGCTCATCTGCCTTCACCTCATTGGGGCACAGGTATGTACCACCAGACTCACCTTCTCCTGATTCTATTGTAATAAAATGTTTTGAGACAGAGTCTCACTGTGTAATCCTGGCTGGCCGGGAACTTGCAATGTAGACCAGGTTGGCCTGGGACTCACAGAGATCCTCCCGCTTCTGCCTTCTGAGTGCTGGGATTGAAGACAGACAACAAACATGTCTGGCTTAGATTAAAAATTACAATATTTTTGTGGCACATGGTGAGTGTATAAACTGACTACATACATTCCAAGATGGTTACGTGGAAAGTTTCTATTATAGATACAAGGGAAAGTACAACCAGGGGCATCTGGAAGAGCAGGGAGAGAGCGCAGGAGAGTGAACATGGCCAGCAGACTGGACCTGCCATGAGAGGAGAGGGGGAGGGGAGCGAGAGATGAAGA